GGGGGGGGGTGGGGGGGGGGGGGGGGGGGGGGGGGGGGGGGGGGGGGGGGGGGGGGTGGGGGTCAAACAGCTTCAGAGGATCCTGGGTAGACATGTAGAAGGCCTTCTGCTGCGGCGCCCCCTGTGGCTGCTGCTGCTGTTTGATGGCCATGTGCAGCGGGTTGTTCTTCTGCAGAGTCTGGGTCCAGTCCAGGTGCAGGAACTGGAACAGAGACGTACCACAGGTACACAGTACATGAACTGACCCTGTGACCCCTGACCCCCTGACCCTGTGGAGGTGAACACTGACCTGCTGCAGACCCTGTAGATGAGGTGGACTCTTCCCCAGCGCCACCTGCTGCACAGGTTTGGTCGGGGACTGCATCTGCAGCTGCACCGCCTGCTGGGAGGACGGCTGCTGACCCTGGGAGGGGCTCTGGTTGGACGGAGCCGACGAACCCGACCCCTGACCCGGACCGGGCCCTGGACCCGAGGGTCTCTGCTGGCTGTGTGGAATGTGGGACTGTTTTCCAGCTTGGACCTGGGTGTCGGCCTGGCTGTGGACCGGCTGGAGGAACGGTCCGGAGACGGACACCCCAGTGGAGAAGGTGAAGCCTGGGTTGACCTGGAGTCCTGGGAACGCCACTGGAGGAGGAATCACGTAGGCTGAGGGCGGGAAGCCTGCAGAGACAAACAGCCAATCAGAGGACATCTATGATGAAGTGTATGTGAACTGAAGGTGTACCAGCTGTGTGTGTGTGTGTGTGTGTGTGTGGTGACCTGGTCTGCTGGGCAGGGGGGGGAAGGCTCCAGGGTGGTGGATGGGGATGAACTGTGAGGAGCAGCCGCTCTGAGGAGGAGTCACCGACGTCTTCTTGCTCTCAGACCCCGGATTCTTCTTCAGCTCAGTCTGACCTTTGACCTGAAGCACAGCAAACAGTGACACCTGCTGGTCAGCTACCACTAACACCTCCCCCCCCCCCCCCCCCNNTCTACCTGTTTTCCCGCGTCGCCGCTCTTCTCCTGTGCGCTCTTCTTGGGCTCGCTCTTCCTCTTCCCGTCCCTCTTTGGTTCTCCTCTCCCCGACGCCACGGAACCTTTGGTGAAGTCCCGGCGCTCTTTGACGCCGTCTTTCTGATGGAGAGCGCGGGCGGGCTCTCTGGGTTTGATGTTCTCCTTGAACGTGACCACGGGTCTCTCGCTGCCTTCGGGCCACGAGCTGGGCGTCTTCCCGGCCGACAGAACTGACTTCAGGCCGGGGACCCCGCTGTCGTTGGGCGACTGGTCGCCGTTGGATGACTCCTGCAGCACCGGCGCCTCCTTTTCCTGCGACTCCTCAATGGGCTGCTCTGGAATGTGGGTGATGAAGAGGAGGAGGCCGTCCTGGCTGACGGTGCACTGGATCAGGCTGCGGACGGACGAGAGTCCAGGGTCAGAACTGAGCACATGACAAGGTCACCAGAACAAGAGGGCGGGGCCTAACGCTCACCACACCCTCTGACCAATCACCGTCATTCTCCACCGTCTTTACGTCTACAGGAGCAGCAGAAATGACCAGAAGAGGTGGACTCACTCGGGCTGGTTGTCGGCCACCCATCGACCCAGACTGACCAGTCTCTGCTGCCGGGCCAGGAGCAGCAGCTCAGCTGCGTCTGTCAGGAGACCCTGGTGACCTCTGGTGAAGTCCAGGGACCTGGAGGAGGAGAGCAGGTCACTGACGGGTTACTGACGGTCACTGACACACACACACAGACAGACAGACAGCGGTCAGTACCTCAGAGCAGGCCTCAGAGCCAGGAAACCCTGGAGTTCAAACTCTTCAGGCAGAGGTGTGACTGAGGAGAAAACACACGGACCAACGGGGCAGTTAGAGGGCAGTTAGAGGGCAGTTCACCTGTTGTTGTCCACTTAGATGACGTCATCATTCTGACCACAGTGACACTGACCGGTTCTCACAGCAGTGACAGGTGAAAACACAAACCAAATATTTAAAGCAAACTAAAGAATCAACCAATCAACAGCCTCCTGGTGGGAGGGGCTGGAGGTGAGTGTTCAGAACCTGTTGTTGTCCACTCAGATGACGTCATCATTCTGACCACAGTGACACTGACCGGTTCTCACAGCAGTGACAGGTGAAAACACAAACCAAATATTTAAAGCAAACTAAAGAATCAACCAATCAACAGCCTCCTGGTGGGAGGGGCTGGAGGTGAAGGCAACAACCCGCCCCACTCCTCCACTGTGTGGTCCACAGTCAGAGCAATAAACAAACACAGGCAGGGCTGCTGGTTCGATTCCCAGGCCCTGCCTGAACGTGTCCCAGTGACCCCCACACAGCGTCCTACCTGAGGAGGTGGAGGACATGTCTTCGTCCCTGGGCTGGAAACTGTTGAGGATGGAGACGAGCCACGGCCAAACACTGAAAGACAGGAAGAGGCGGGGCTAAAGCGGGACATTCACACCATAAACACTGAGTGGGAGGAAAGGGTTTAGTGACCAGTGAGTAGTAGCCGTAGTAGTACTACTACTAGTAGTAGTTGTAGTAGTACTAGTACTAGTTGTAGTAGTACTAGTAGTAGTACTAGTAGTAGTACTAGTACTAGTAGTACTAGTACTAGTAGTAGTTGTCCTGTGTGACCTGTGGTCACACTGACCTTCTAGAACCCACTTCCTGTTGGACTGATGTCACAGTTAACCGTGGACTTTGATTGGTTGGTTTTTGTCAACTGCTCATTATTTGTCAGCTGTGCTGGACAAACTGAGGCCCGGGGGCCAGATGTGGCCCATTCAGCTTTGTAATCCGGCCCACCAAACCTGTCCAAATCATACTACTACTACTACTACGACTACTACTAGTACAGTAGTAATAGTAGTAGTAGCAGTACTAGTTGTAGTAGTACTAGTAGTAGTAATACTAGTAGTAGTACTCACTGCTGTCTCTGCTCCACTGCAGCTTCATGGAAGACGCTGGGCCTCAGTCGGAGCCAGTCCAGAGACACCTTGATGGCGGGCAGAGGACACTCCCCCAGGACGTCCTCGTCCTTGTTGGCGTCCCGCAGGATGCGGCTGCACATGACGCCCAGGAAGGACACTGAGGACGCAGCAGGAAGTGATGTCAGAGCGTTGGCACATACCTCTGGCAGTGTTAGGACCAGGTGTGTGTTTCCTACCAAAGAGTCCCAGCAGCTGGAACCAGCTGATCTGCTGGTCGCTGCTGTAGCTGCGCTCCCCCCCCCCACCCCCCCCCCCCCCCCCGCCGCCGCCGCCGGCGTCCACGGCCAGGTCTCTGAGGTGGTGGAGCTCAAACAGGTTGATGACGGTGATGTGGACGAGCTGCTGGGAGCTGAAGGCCTTCTGCAGAATCAGCCTCTGCACACAATCAGACAAGGACGTCTGTGGTCGTGGTCGGGGTCAGGGGTCGGGGGTTCGATTCTGGGGGCTGACGGAGACTCACCTGGAACTGCTCCTCCAGTTTCTCCCTCAGGGCCTCCAGTTTGTCCAGACTCTTGCACAGGTAGACGTGACCGTGGAACTTGATGAAGGCCTTGATGAAATCAGACACGCTCCACCTGGTCTTCACCTCCTCACGACTGCAGAGACAGAGAAAGGAGTCAAGGAGTCAAGGAGTCAGAGGGACACACCGTCAGCAGACCACGCAGGTCCTCGTGTCTCACCTCTCCAGAGCCTTAGACAGCGCCTTCTGCAGGTTGGTGGAGGCAGCGGGGAAGGGGAACTTGACCGCGATGCTGCGACAGTAGTAGAAGACGGTGGTGAGGTGGTCTCCTTTAGAGGAGGCCAGGATGGCCAGCTGGTTGTAGGGCTGACCTGGAGCACAGACATGAGGAGAAGGAGGAGGAGAAGAGGCTTGAACAGATCACACACACACAGACACACACACACACACACACACAGGATCTCTGTGTCAACCAGGCAGAGACAGACATCGGTTCCACTCACCGTTGGAAGGAACCAGCTGAGCTGCATGGCGGTAATAGGACTCGGCCTGACTGGTCTGGTTACGGTAACGTGCTGAAACGTAGACAAGAAGAAGAAAGATGAGCAGAGCAGTGATGTCATCAGAGGAGGTTAGTCCAGTCAGTGGGCCGCTCCTCACCGATGTCTCCCAGGTGGACCAGGCAGTGCTGGCAGATGTAGGAGCAGGAGCTGGGCTGAGGCGTGACGATGGAGCCGCCGGCCTGTTTGTTGCCGATGACGCCCAGCTGAGACGACCTGACGCGACAGGGCAGGTCCACGTTGAAGACGGTGCAGAGTTCCTGCAGCAGCTGAGACAGACAGGAGACGTTTGTCAACAGGTCACGACCTCTGGGTCCGTCTCCTTAAGGACTTCAGTATTTACTGTCCCGTGGATT